ACAAGAAGAGGAGCTCTGGATATCCAACCTGAAGCAATTCCTGGAAGGGAATATCGGCAAGCTCTCGAAACGCGAGGTGCGAGACTGTGTCAAACTCGCGAGCCAGTACGAGGTCGGGGAAAGCGGGTTGCTGTACTACCATGTGCGGGGAGACGAGTCGGCCGAAGACCGGGATGTAATCATGAAGCTCGTGGTTCCGGAGACACTTCGTGATGATATACTGCACCACTACTACGCGAGTTTGGAAGGTGGGCACCAAGGCATAGGCCGAACCTACCAGCGCGTCCGGCAACATTTCCATTGGCCGGGCCTGTTCAGAAGCGTGCAACGCCACGTGGGAGAATGTACGGATTGCGAGACCGGGAAAGGAAGGCGACGATCCAAGGGGAGTCACCCGGGAACATCGTCGCGACGTACCCATTCCAGGTCATAGCGATGGACCATATCCCGTCGTTGCCCGCGTCGCACAAGGGAAACACGGAGCTGCTGGTATGGGCGGACCTTTTGTCATGGGTTTTGTCATAGCGAAAGCGAGCGCGTCGCGGACGGCGCAGACCGTCGCTGAGTCGTACGAAGAAACTGTGTTTCGACGTTTTGGTGCTAGTGAGGCCATCTGTCACGATCGCGAGCCAGGTTTCATGTCAGACTTCTTCCGAGCTTTTAACAGGCTCATGGGACAGAGGCAACGCGCGACCTTGGCGTACCGGCCACAAGCAAATGGAGCTGCCGAGCGTATGGTTCAGACCATCACGCGTGCTATCAAGATGTACATCGCGGACGTCAATCAACGCGACTAGGATGAGTACGCAGAGAGGCTCACCTACGCCCTGAACACGGCCCACGACAGGACTCGTGACGAGACACCGTTCGTTTTGGTCCATGGTTGGGACCCACGATCCACGCTCGAAGCGACGTTGGCGGTGGGCAACACGTCGACACGCGATGTAGAAGCCCGTCGTTGGAGATTGCGAATTCAACGCCATTACAAGATCGCCCGAACCCAAGCACTGGAGCTCGTCCGCGAGGCTGTCGAAACCCGGGCCCGACG